ACTAATTGAGGCCGCCTTTAAAATTTCATAATTCCTGTTCTGGGACTTTGATCTAGTACTGGTCCTTCTGTGCTGCCTAGTTCTATTGAGTTCTGCTGAGGAAGTTCCCCTTCATGTCCTGTCTAAAGTGTACACCACAGCTTAGCCAATCCTGTCATACTAAGCAAGCCATAGAGCTGAGAATTCTATGATCCACAGAATTTGAGACATCTATAATCTCAGAAAAATTAGGTTAAAGGAATACATCATAATTATATTAATCATAATAAGAATATTGTGTGAACACGGGCAGCAGAGGAACCAGCAAAATCTTCAAACAAATGGAAAGGATCTTTTAATCTATAGGAAGCTTTTGAACTGGGAGAACTTTTATTTACTTGCTGCGAAGCAAAGGAGATGATTTTTGTGGATTTCCCTTCCTATATTCCCTCAAATTGTTACTTACTCATTGTTGAACAAACACAGCCACTGAGTATGTATATTACTGATGTATACATTGGAAAAAAATAGATAGAAATATTGGGTTCTGACAAGTCTTAAAGCTTTTCAAATGGATCATGCTGTTTTTGTATGGTGGTATTAGCAATTTGTTAAATGAAATAGTTGGCCTTGTTTAACCAAATAATCTCTTTTCACAGGCCAGACACAAAAAATGAACCTTTTCCAGTCTATAACAAGTGCCTTGGATAATGCCTTATCCAGAGATCCAACTGCAGGTATGTTTTTAATGCTTTGTTATTTAAGGAGAATCTTTTGCTTGAAGCCTCTTCAGTTGAGGATACTCACTACCACACAATTCTAATGCAAACATGACTATGTTAATATGAGGGTGCTTAATTAGCATCTTTTCTCCCTCACATCCTCTTTGGATGGTAAAACAGGCTTTGACTTTTGCTCCTTGATGTAGTTTCTCTTTGAAGTTTAAAGATTCAGTGTTGTGTGCTGCTAAATTAATATAATTTTATTTGCTGGAAAAAAGTTGAAGATAGCTTTTGTTGCTAAAATTAGCAAATGAAGTAAGCTGAAAAAATACATCTTTTAATGGAGACAGATTTCTTTCATGGTTTGTGTAAATTGTCTAGTCCCTTTCATTTCTAGTGTTATTTATAAAAGGTGTTCTTGGTTCTTACACTCATCAAATTAATATTTTATAAAGAAAAGCATGCACAGTAGAAAAAGTCAGATGAAAGTGATTTAACAATCCATTTTTCTTTCTGAACAACTATTTATTTGATTCCTAATATACACACAGTAATATTTGGTGAAGATGTATCTTTTGGTGGAGTTTTCAGATGCACCGTTGGCTTGAGAGACAAATTTGGTAAGCTCACAACTTAACCATTCATCATATCTCAAGTTACATTATTATTTTTATAAAAGTATGTTTTTCATTTTGGTAACGATCTCACTGTTTTTTTATACAATAATCAAACATAATTAATTAATTAAAAATTGAATAAGATTGTTAGTTAAAACCATAATTTTATATAACATTAGAGCAGTTACTGGGATAGCTGGCATGAATTAGGAAGAATGTCCTTGCAAATGGATGTTATTTTGCCATCTGCTTTGGAGTTGGGTGGCATCTAAATCTAATAAAACCAATAATTGATAAATTTTCTAATTGTTGATGAAAACAGTCTAGACTGGCAATGCGCTTGATCTGAGTGGGGAGATCAGTATGTATAATGGGTGTTGGCACTACAGTGTGTGAGATGTTCTCAGAATATAAGGATGGCTTATATGGAAAATAGTATGGTCCCAAGTTTTAAGATCTTGTAAATAATACATTGCTCATACATGCATAGAAAGGGGTTCTACTGAGGGATCTAGCTGCACAAGCGTAGCTTTACATAAAATAGAGTGGTCTAGTCTTGTGATAGTTTGCTAAGGGAAAGTTAGAGCTATTGATTTAGCTGAAACTAGTATTTTACATTCTTGGCAGCTGAGGGCACATCATCATTAGAGACTGAAGAATCCACAAACTTAAGATGTATTGTGTAGTTCTGGGCATCACACTTCAGTAGGAGGTATTCAGACAACCTGGGACAGGTTCAGAGAAGGGCAAGATTAGGGATCTAGAAACTAAGTCCTAAATAGAAAGTTTGAAGGAACTGGGAATATTTAGCCTCGGGAGAAGATTGAAGGGAATTACGATCACACTCTTAAAATACCTGAAGTACATGGAATCCAGCGTGCAGCACATGGACTAATGGATTTAAGTAACAGGAAGGCAGATTTCAGCAGAATGCTAGAAAAAGCTTCCAGACTAAGAGCAGTTCAGTGGTGGAGCCAATTACTCAGAGAAGTAATGGACTTCCCTTCCCATCTGTCTCCAATGCTTTAATTCTGATTCCTGTATGGAGCAGAGGGTTGGACAGTCGCCAAAGTTTCCCTTTCAGCTCTATAGTTCTACTTTGAATTAAAGGTTAATTAGAAAAAAACATACAACGTAAGCCCTTTTATTCCATCAGATACCTTGTGTTAAAATGTTTTTTCTTGGGTTATCATGTACTGTACATTCATTTTTAAAAAGTTTATTAATAAAAAAATATCTTATAGGTAAAGACAGAGTGTTCAATACTCCATTATGTGAACAAGGAATTGTGGGATTTGGCATTGGAATTGCAGTCACTGGTGCTACAGCTATTGCAGAAATCCAGTTTGCTGACTATATTTATCCTGCCTTTGATCAGGTTAGAGCTTATTTTAAAAAGTCTGACTTTCTTAAAATAATGAAAATATGGTTGGAGGTGGGATTAAGTGTGATGATTGAATGGATCTTCATGAACATGAAAGAGAATTGTTGAACAATCTATGCCATTTTGTATTTTACAAAAGGAACAAAAATTGTTGTGAGAATACAGTACATTGATAACATCCTGCTGTTTTGAGAAACATGCAAAAAGAGAATTTGCAGTTTTTCCATGGACAGCTGAATGTCCTACTATATGCTTTCCTCTTGAGGAAAATGTACGCATAATGTTTCATGCTTCAAAAAGAAGTAACATCAGAAGCATGAATATACTTGTATGTATTTTTCTTCTAGTAATGGGAAGGAGTCCATAGTGAAAAAGTAATGAAAGTAGGGTCATAGCAGGGCCAGGCTGCACTCTCTGACTGGAATTGTCACTTGCTTGATAAAATATGTTGTATTATAATCACATTTGAGGATCCAAGGTAAATTATAATTTTTGTATGTGGAAAGCAAGTCTTAGAAATCAGTAGTATATTTGTAGCTGGCTCAAATAGAAAGCTGTTCCAAAATACTTTACATATTAAATACAATAGCTTTTCTTGATGTGGGAAACAATATATACATTGATTAAATGAAGTTATACCAGTAGAAAGGTAACTTTCCTGAACTCACTGAAAAACATGTATATTCCCGAACACCTCCAAATATTTGGGGAGATTCAACACAATTGTGGGCTGTGTTAGGTGACTGCAAGTGGGAGAGGGGTTTGCCAAAATTGAACCTTGTTAAGGGGATACACAATTATTTTGCCATATGTCAGGCAATCCCACCTGTCATTAAAGGTCTGTAAAACACAATCCACAATGTTTGCTAAATTGCATGGGGGATGTGGACTGCAAAGAAGAGAATGGAAAGTTCCAATATTATTATTGATGATGCGCAATCAAGTTGGTGTTGACCCTTAGCGACCACATGGATAGATTTTCTTCATGATGATCTGTCCCTAATCTGATCTTTCAGGTCTTCCAACAGTGTATGCATCGCTACTGTAATGGAGTCAATCCACCTTGCTGCTGGTCATCCTCTTCTTTCCTTCCACCTTTCCCAGCCTTATAGACTTCTTCAGAGAACTAGGTCTTTGCATAGTATGTCCAAAATATGATTATTTGATCCTGGTTATTTGTGCCCTGAGTGAGAACTTTGGATTGATTTGTTCTACAATGCATTTATTTGTGTTCTTGGCTATGCATAATATTCTCAAGAGTTTTCTCCAACATCCAAGTTCAAAAGCATCAATACTCTTCCTATCCTGCTTCTTGAAAGTCCAACTTTCACTTCCATAGAGTGCCACAGGGAATACCATGGCTTGCAC